TCATCATCATCATCATCATCATCATCATCATCATCATCATCATCATCATCATCTCATCATTATCATCAGGTACTCAAATTAGCAAGCCGTCCCCTTCACGATGGAGAGTACCGTTCTCAACGTAGACAGCCACAACCAATGGGGATGCTCTGCAGCCGACACCAATAAAGGAGGATGTCAAACATAATTTGTTTGAATGTCCGGGAACAATGGCAATTCGAATGTAGTTATTCGGACGCGTGGAGGTACCGCTAAGCATATTGACAATGGAGCCGAAAAAGAGCCTCGCTCTCGCTTGAAGATTCCTTCGTGGAGTAAGCCAGGCCCATTAAGGAAACAAAACAAAAAATCATCATCATCATCATCATCATCATCATCATCATCATCATCATCATCATCATCAGTACCTTCGTCGCTCTAGATCACGAAATAGGCTGCAACAAACACTTTTCATATTTCCCTATCACGGGCTTTCCTTTTGGTATAATTCCCATGTCTTCCCACTTATCTGTACATCATTTGAAAATAGCAGACAAACAAGTAAACCGCTAAGCGTACGGAAAGATATAAGGCGATGCATAAAAGGATTCAATTGTTGGTTGGTGGGTTGTTGTTGTTTTTTTTTTTGGGGGGGGGTTGTATCGTTGTTGTTTTCGTTTATTTATTTGTTGTTGTTGTTGTTGTTGTTGTTGTTGTTGTTGTTGTTGTTGTTGTTGCTTTATTAATTCTATCAAACATCCCACACTTCCAGTTGGATAAAGTGTAAAGTTAAACTTGAAAACCCACGCAATATTTAATTGCTGCAGCCACAAGTGTTGCGTTCCGTTTCGTTGACCGAAATAATATACGTTTTGAGTTGATCATTGTTTTGAATAATTACTTAACATTAATCTGTGCGTACATCGCTCCCTTTTCATAGCATCAAACCCACGGTAACTTTGATATCGTCACCTCAATTTTTATTTTATTTTTTTGAATAAGGAATACTAATTCTGTTCTAGGAAAGACCAAAACGAGGGCATAGCAGTCTATAGAAGTTAACCTCAGATCGACACTGGCCGCATGCCACCTGTTATGCCTGCAAAGTAGTGCAGTAAGGCGAGTACTCACTTGAGCCCAACCACATTGTAGGCGCGCAGACACTTCCTAATGGGTTTCGTGAAAAGTCGTCCTCGAAAATCAATGTTCAGTTGAATGCAGTGTAGATGATATCACACGCGTTGTATTCCGTTTATCAAATAAATGATAAGATATATGTTTTTGTTTAATTGTTTTGTTTTGTTTGTTCGTTTGTTGTTATTGTTTTTGAACAATCGTTCTTCCCACATACGTGCTTGCTTCGTTCACTTACTGTAGCATTAATTTTTTTTTAAAAGCCCAATAATATTATTGTTGCCAACGGAATTTTTTTAGTGAGGGTGGGAGTAGGGTGGGAGTGTTTTTGAGTGTTTTGGGGGGGGGGGGGGGGGGGGGGGGGTATTGTCATCATAAGAAAAAGATAGAACCATTTTGCAAAATACAATAATCTTTTGCTCTATCACACACTAAAATGAGGGCACAGAGGTCAAGAGACGCTAACATCATATCGAAACCGGCCGCGCACCACCTGCTACATCATGATGTGTAAACTAGTGCAGGAAGGCAAATACTCATGCGAATTCATCGATATAAGGCACACCCATACCACGACTGTCTTTGTTTATCTACCTCGTCTCAATTCAAAATTTCAACGTGAATGTTGATTTTTGTTAATAATCTGTTTTCAATTATTATTTTATATTTGGGGTATTTTCTTTAAGATTAAAAAAAATTAAATTGCACTAAACTTTGATTAATTCTGTGCTCCCATTGTGTAAATCCCCAATCATCGTTTTCTTGTGAATTCAGTGCGCACTTTGCTAAAGCGTTTCCTTCACAACAATAACCCCGCCTCCACACATTCACAAAAAAGACAAACTGGAGAGACAGCAGAAGAACAATACGATTACTCCTCGGGGGACTCAGCAAAATGGCATGAACTTAAAACAGGATTCAAATCAATTAGTACTTTAACACTTAATGAGATGTGAACTGTAACATAGGTTCGTCTTGGCTTTATCATTTTATTCAGTCCGTTGCGTTGCGTTGAAATGTAACCGTTGTGATTCCTCGAATCCCCTCTCACTACAACATGCACCTGTGTCCTTTTAGAAGTGTCGGATTCAAAACGCACGTGCGCAGAGTCATCGGTGTGCACTTTAACAAGCAGGAAAACACTTTACTTTTGTGTCCGGAAGCCCCCTTAGCTTTCGAGTGCCTCTGATCAATAAATACCCTTTATTGCGCTATAATACAAAAACGTTTCTACCATCGTCGGTACTTCTTTTTTCTTCCCAGTACTCTTTGACCTCGTACCATTTGCATATTTCATCTGGGCTAAGATCTCTGAACCTGAACACACTCGAGCATTGCCAAGACAATAGGAGAGTGCAGAGCTATGACTACGTACAGGGCTTTATTCCTCTTTAGACGAGACGCCGTTTTTGCATTTCCGATTCTGTCAATTGGTACAATAAAAACACCCCAATAAAATCTTCCGAGTGCTCGATTAACCGCCAAAGTCAAACAAACCTGATGCAATGATTTCTTTTGTTTCGCGGTTGTTCAAAGACAAGCGATGACGAAAGTAGGCCTAACATTTACATTATCTTTGTCAGCTTTCCGAGTTTGTAAAGTAAAGAGAAAGTTCAAAAAATAAAAAAAACCCCGAAGAATTAGAATGATAGAGTGAACACAAAGTATTAAACGCATTTTGAAAAACAATGCTGAATGTTCAAAGAAGACTAAAAAGGAGAGTGAGACGATGGAGGGAGTTTGTCAAAGAGGAGGATTCGTGAAATTGAGTCGATTCAAACTCCGTCTTTTGTTCGTCAGCTTCTCAGTTTGAGGGCGCTGCAGCGCAACGGTAACTTTGTTCACAGGGGGCGTCGGAAGCCAGGCAAACTAGAGACACTCAATAAAAAACAATTAACTGTTAATTTAGATTGGGCCATAAAGCGCTGATCCGAAGCCATGATCTTCACAAGTCGCTAGCGACGAGGTCCCGCGCCGAGCGCCCTCTAGGGACAAGAGAGGCTTGTGAATAAGAGATCGGATCTGGTAGCTTTTAAAGCTCAGAGCAAGAGTCGCGGGGACAAGGACGACACTCGAACGACCGAGAGACGTGTCCGGTTGTGGAGAACCGGTGAATAATTCACCAGTCGGAGCAGTGGCTCCACAAGGGCTTCACTGTTGTGAGCAAAGCGGAGGTGATCCAAACATACTGTTAAAGACAGAGCAGGGCACGTGCGGGGGCATTCTGCAGCAGGGGAATATTGAGTAGGAAGGGAAAAGGTGAGGGGAAATAAGGTGACAGAGAGAGATAATAGTGGTTTGGCGTGGGGAAAAGGGGAGAGA